ATGCCCAAGATTTTAGAGGACAATATGGAACAAATTGGAGGGGACAGGGTTCAGTTTAGGCCAATTAAAGCTCAAGTGTGAAACCGGAAAAAACTAGCAACCACCACAGACCTTAGCTAGACAGTACATCAGTGAAGAAAACCAATTCACCACGAAGATTCAATTTAAACATATATCTGACACTCAACAAAAACAAGTAAATGATTTAAGCATATTTAACCGGTTGCAGTAAAATCTTAAAATTGGGCTCATTACCTTCATAAGGAGACTGTGTAGGACCAAGAATCATGACATTAAAGTATCGCATATTATCTTCCGATGGAGATGCACTTATTCCTGGTGCTGCACTCAAAGTGAAATGACAGTAAATCTCTCTTTTTTTGTTTTAATTAGTAACATAGCTTACATATATCAATACTAAAACTTGCTGCTTCAATAAGAAAAAGTCATACATACTGAGATCAACAATCCAAATCATTAATCATATCACCGAGTATTCCAAACTTCAATATTAAGCTCAAAAGTTCATCACAGCTAAAGGAAAAGAACAATTTAAAACAAAAAATTCGTGAAAATTACCAGGTTCGCTGAGAAGCCGTTGAGTTTCCTGTAAATTAAGCATATGAAAAAGTTATCAGTTAAATCGAAGTTATAAAAGCGATCAGTAGATCAAAAACCCTAAAGGATCGAGCGAAGAAGATGTAGATCAAAGGTTGAATAAGAAAGGACCTTGATAATTCTACGAGGAAGATTGCTGTTCGCCATTGGAATTGAATTGAAGGCTGCCTGGGTGGGTGGGGTTCTTCGGTCGCAGAGAGTTCACGCTAAGGGTTCTTAATTTTTCTAGAGAGAGAACTGGAGAATTGAGATAGTGGAGATAGTTTAAGAATTTGACCACTCTTTCTCACTAAAAATCTGAAATACATGTGTGGTACAATGGTTCAGTTGAGATTCTTATAGGGGCTATTTTATAGTTTCTACGTATAGTGGTGGACTGGTGCCAATACTAAAAGAGTTTTTATTTGATTTTTTTAATAATACTTCCAATTTATATGATACTTTTTCTTTTTTAATCAATCCCAAAAAAAATATTTTTTATTATTTAAAAATAACTTATTTTAGAATTTCTATTTTATCTATATTTTTATTTAGACCACAAATTTAAGAATTCTTATATTTTAAAAAAAATTGTGCCGAGTCAATACCACAAATTAAGACGGGGGAGTAATGCTAATAATAATAAACGAGGTGTAGTTTTTTAGCATGTTGGAGCTCTTACTTGGTTCTAGTTTTCTTGAATCCGATAGTTAAATTTATATTTCTTTTCGTTTTCTTGAGTCGAGAGTCTATCGGAAACAGCCTCTCTTTTTCCCTGGGCTCTTTATCTCTCTGGGGTAGAGATAAAGTCTGCGTACATACTACCCTTCCCAGACTTCACTTACGAGATTTTACTGGGTCGTTGTTTTTGTTATTGTTGTTGATAGTTAAATTTATAGGCATAATAAATCTTATATTTGTTTACTTATTCAAGTGATCAATATATCTAAGTCAAATAGTTTAAATCGTTCAAATATAACTTATTTATTTATTACGTGGTATTTTAGTAACTAGTTTTTAACTCAATAACATTTTGATAATACTAGTTGAATTTTGCTATTAATGTTACACGAATGATTAAATGAAGAAATGGTCATTAATAGAACATTGATGATTATGCTTTATCTTGACAAACATTTGTAGTTATTTATGGAGTTCAAGGATGATCTAACTAAAGAGATATTTCAAGTTGACCTAACTCAATGAGATTGGGACTTGGCTCTTTGAAGCATGTGGTTAAGAAAATTTCAAATGCTTACTTGAAGGAGGAAGAAAGTAAGGACAACTTTTATTTGTGGCTAATAATTTAGGTTTTTTTTTTTTTTTTTTGGCTAATAATTTAGGTTACCATATAAGAGCAAACTCTTGGTGAAGTGTTCGATAAGTAATCATTACCTCCAATACGTCTCTTATTTGGTTTGATTTTTTGGTTTTATAAACTTGTTACGTAGTTTTTATTTTTCACTTTGTTTCGCAACTTATTTTTTTGTTTAGTACATAACTTGAAATGATCAACACGGAAAAGGGCCAAAACTGCCTCTATAGTATTCGATTTGGTACAAAAATAGCCTTCATCCACCTATTGAGCCAAAAATATCCCCTACGATTATCTTAGTGACTCAGTTATGCCCTTATTATTAACAGACTTATCTAAAAGAAATGGAAAAATTTAATGATTATCCATGTGTTACCGTGCTATTAGCCTAAATATAAACACTTGCTAAATTAAACAGAAAAAAAACATAAACCTAAGTTTTTATTGATCCGCCCCGATTTTAAAATTCAATGTAACTTCTTCTTCATCTTTTTGATTCTGCAAATGGAAGAATTTGCGCCACTACAACATCAAGAAAAGTATCAATTTAAGCAAGAAAATGTTGAGTTTGGGAATGAAATAAAATAAGTATGAGAATAATCGGGATCTTGACTTAGGAAGTAATTCATTAAGTGAAATCAAATGAGTATGAGACAAAAATTCATTATCTCCTCCCCTGATTCAATTTCATGGAGATTGGAGAAGAAATGAGGAGTTGGCAATGAGGCATGTCCTTTTTTCGGGCGACTGTGAAGAAACCATAATGGTCTTTTTTTAAATTTTTTGATAAAGATTTAAATTTAGATCAATTGGACGATGACGCGTGGATATTAATTAAAAATATTTTTCAAATAAGTCCGTTAGTTAATAAAGGCATAAGTGAGCCACTAAAAAAACAAAAAAGGGCATTTTTGGAATAGGTAGACGGAGGACATTTTTGTACCAAATCGAATAGTCTAGAGGCAGCTTTGGCCCTTTTCCGTTTTCAAATTGGTACCTCCTTTGCTTTGTCGGCCAATGAATAAAATATTCTATCGTTTTGATAAAAAAATTAATAAAAAAAAATCGTCTATTTGGAAATGAGGACCAATAAATTTGTATATAACGCATGCAAAACGGACATTGATATGCATCTCCTCTATAATTATTGTGAGCACCTAATTTTTGTCAGCATAAAAATAATTCCTAAAAATAGATCAAAAATAATTATAGTGGATTTTAGGAGTTTTTCTTTATTTAGTTGCATTTCATGCATGTTTAATATCTTAAAATCATAGAAAAATTATAAAAAAAATTATCATATTTTAATTTCATACCATATTAGGTTTAATTTGCATTTTTAGTAATTAGTCACTCTTTAATTGTTAGAATTAATACATAAAAATCAAATAAAATATTTTTTTAGATTTTACATGCATTTGTTAATAGATAAATAGAATTAATTTTGCTAATAAGAGTTAAGTTAGGTTTTAGTTTAGGAATTAATTTGTTAGAATTTAAAATCAAAAGAAAAACAAAGAAAAAAGCAAAGAAGTAGATTTGGTCTTCTAATTTCATCCGGGCCAGTTTAATTCGAAGCCCAAAATTTAATTTGCTCTAAACTAGCTCAACCCAATACCATGCCCAAAACCTGGCCCATTAACCATTCCCCTCATTAAAACCTAATCCCTAATTTTTCTTATAAAGAGGAGATCTTTTAACCTAAAAGAAAAAAAATCATAGGAGAAGGGAGGACCCCTCTCTTGAAGAAAACGCACCATCACCTTTCCAAACTCCAAAAATTCTTAAAGCTAAGAAACAAAAAATACAGCCACTCACCCCCAATTACAAAAGCTTCATCCATTCTCAAAATCCATGATTTTCAGCAGCATTTGAAAGAAAAATCGCAATTGTTTGAGACCAAAAATGCAGCAGCTGCTGCTGCCTTCTTCCTCCTCCATAAACAACCTCCCTTAGCCCGAACCTCACCCGAACAACCCCTGTTTCCACCAGAAAATCAGCTCACGAACGCAACAAAAGCATCTCAGAAAAGCAACGAAAATCAGCTGCAAAACAGGTCCAACAGCTGCTCAAAAATGACTCGAAAAGTACCTCCGAACCATCTCATTTCAGCTCCAAACCTCACCCAAACTGAAAAGCAGTCACAAAATTGAGCCAAAAATGTAGCTTAAATTTTCTCGAAACGAAGCTAAAAACTGCTCTGAAAATCAGCTCCAAAACAGTCCTTTCTTCACGCTAAAAATGGTAGAATCCATGGCGAAGTCGCCGACAAGATCCCGTTCGATAGGTCGGTGTTAGAGGTGGCCGATTCGAGGTTTTCCATTCGTGATTCTTTGTTCAATTCTAGTCGTCGGCTCAGAGCCGGTCCTTTTCTCTGTTGCTATACAATTTGCATCACAAGGTCCATTTCCATCTTAGATCCCAATAATATATTTGTTCTAATTGTTTGTTTTTTTTGCCTAATTTTCTGTTTTTGTTTCTATATTTTAGTTGAATATTCTCTATTTTATTTATTTATTTGATTTGATGTTTTGATCCTTCGTTTACATTAATTACTAAAGTTAGTATGTAACCTTCTTAGTGTAAGTATGCTTAGATTCAAATGCTATAACTTGGGCGTATTTTTGGTTTTGAAATGGGTTTGATTTCATGTTGTAAGTGCTTATGTGTTTTCAATTTAAAATTAATGTGGACAGTTCTGAGTTTTGTTAGTAGTATTATATGTTTAATAAGGAATTTGTCTCTAACTTGATAGATTGGAGTGGACCAGGTTTGTGATTTAATATGCAAATTGCTCATTTCTTTACATTGGTTATGGATTTAATTTTGAAGAGAAAGAAATTTTGGGCCTATAAGCTGAATTGTGCGAGGCCCATTTCCATAATGACATTTTATTGATCCATTTTAGGGTTAGCTCATTTCCATGTAATGCATAAGCTGCCCAATTAAATTAAATAAATATCTCATATAATATTGAACCTTTATACCTAGTTACATGATATGAGGTATTTAGCCTAGAGACATAATCACAACTTTAGGTACACTTCGAAATTACGCCTTAATCAAATATTCGTAAAAATGTTTTAGGCGTGATTTATTAACTATTGTGACTATGGGTACGGTTCCCGTGACGTAGTTGTGATATATATTTCCCAAATCCGTGTGCACATTTCATGTGACCCGACCACAACTTCAAACAATAATAAAAATGAACACATTGTAAATCATGGGTGCATTTCATGTAGCGTGATTTGCAATGTGTTCCAAAACAAATAAGTGTATGACAATCGTAACTTGTTCTAGAAATAATTTCATAAATAAATAAAAGTGGTTATAAAGTTAAAAATGCACAATAGGTTTAAAACATATAATAAATCAGATAATTTGGCCAATTATTAATAGTTGAGCGACCGTGCTAAAACCACGAAATTCGAGAATGCCTAACACCTTCGTGTGACTTCTTTTCTGTTAGAGTCATATCCCAATTTTAGAACGAGATTCGGACAAGTTGCAAAGCCGGTGAAGCTTTTGTATTCCCGGTACGCTGCCCCCCTCCCCCTCGGCTCGAGCTGTCCGCTCGGGTAAGCCAGGTCTAGAACAATACACGTAGGTTTTTAAACCTAGAATAACATAGCCTCATGCCGGAGCCCTAGTAGGAACGTTTATTTGCATCACGTGCATTTGACTTTGGGGACTCAACACAGGGGTCGGGTTCGTCTAGGACAGGTGTACCCAAATTAAAAAGGCCATCCTGATGCATCTTACGTGCTACTTGCGCATCTGTTTGTTTCGGCTTGCATGTTGACCGGCTTCTAGAATAGGGAAAGAAAATAAAATAAAAAAAGATCAAAAATCAAAAACAAGAGTGAGAGGTGGGTATTTGAAAATTTCCGAAACTCTGCCGAAATTTTGGAAAATAAGGGAAAAAGAAAAGGACAAGGTCATTTCAAAACGAGACCAAAGTCTTCAAGTGTCATGTTTCCCTGTTCCGTCAAAACTGACCGAACTATGTGGGTCTGATTCTCACCGGATGT